CACCGCGATTCCTGCGGTCACAGCGCTCGGCCTGGGAGAGCGAGCAGGGAGCCCCCGAGGACCCAAGTGTTTCATTTGCATGCTCCCTGCTGAAGCGCATTCGCCAATCAGCCAGCCCGCTCTCTGTGCTCCCCCTCAAAGCGCCCAGGCCCTCAGGCGGAGCACACCAGGCCAGCAAAGCAACGCAGCAGAGCCTCCCAGGGGACGCTCTCAGTCTACAGGGCCCTGGGGGAAGGCAGCCCACGAAACATGCCTCCACCCTCCGCCAAGCCTGTCGAGCTCGCAGGGCCCGACCCATCACCACCGCCCTTGTGCAAACATGGCCCGGCTCCCTGCAGCCGCTCCACACGGCAGCCTTGACCTAGTGCTGCAAAGACGCAGTGCAACTGGAGCAGCCGGGAGGGAGGTTCAGGAAGTTTCCTGTGACGGGGCAAGGCCCAGCAGTCGCAGCTGGCCACGGCAGCTTTCACTTCCTTCGAGCAGTAGGATGCCACCTCTACTCAGGCCCCCTCCCCAGCCAGAGAGTGCAAGGGGGGGGCTCTGTGTCGACCCACGGCACCCAGGTCCAATCTCGAGCTCGGCATGGACTGATGGGTCCCATAGTGCGGAGCCCGGAGTCAGCGGAGCACAACGTTCCTGGCCGGATAGTCGCACCATGTCTGGTTTTTATCCATATCCCTCCTTTCCTCTGAATTTTCTAAGTTACAACCACCGCTCACAGCCTGCAGAGACCATGGCTAGAGACCAGCATCCCTGTGACCCAAGCCTGCCCCCTCCGGTCAGTCACCTTGACTGCCCCCATAGGGTCGTGGGTGACCCCAGGGCAGGCGTCACACACCCCAGCCAAGGCCCCTGCTCCAAGGGCTTCCGGTCTCGCTCTCACAAATCCCGCAGCCAGGAGGCATCGAACCCCCAGCACACGCAGCTTTGTGGGAACCTGGCTTCTGGGCTGCAGCGAGCGCCTCTGAGCCCTCTGGGAACCCCGGAAAAGGACGCAGCCGCTGGAGGAATAAGATGTCGTGCTCACGAGGCTGCTTTCTAACCGTGCTGCAGATTAGAAGTTGAACCACATCCCAGCGGCCTCTCCCCCAGGCAGAGATGCACATGTATTTCCGTTCACCTATTTCTAGGAGAGAAATCAGCACGATTGTATTCCAGCCGCACGCTGGGTGGCTCCCGCTCGCCATGCACGATGCCAGGAGGGCGGCCTTACCGGAGAACATGGGAATTGCCAGGCCGGATCAGACCCACCTGCGGCCAACACCAGCTGCCGAGAACCTTGCCGAAGGCAGATACGGAACAACTTGCCACCGGAGGGAGTTTCCTCCTGACCCACCCCCTCCCCATGCTAGGGATGTAAGCGACTAATCGACTATCCGATAAGCAAAAGCGCATCAAATAGTCAACATGCCAATTGACTAGTTGCTCCTCCCACCTTGCTGCCTCTCAGAAAGAGGCAGCAAGTGCGGGGAAGAGGAAGGGATGCTGAGGGGAGCCAGCTTAAAAGCCGGTTCCCCCGAGCTCCAATTCCATGGGAGGGGCAGCGTTCCACCTTTTAAACGTACAAGAGTCTCCACATGCGTTTCAAAGGCGGAACACCGCATGGCACTTCTGCCTTTGAAATGTAGCCACTTATCAAAGCAGAAGAACCCTTATCAAAGAACTGAATAGTCAATGGAAAGTCCATCGACTATTCGATTAGTTGATCAATCTAATTTTAACATCCCTACCCCATACCTGGGGACCAGCTGATGTGATGCCCTGAAGCATGAGAATCTACATCCCTTCCAGGCTCCTCTCAAAACACATCATAAAGATTACCGACCCAGGCCAGTGTCCGGTTAGCGGAGTCACCTGCCCATGCGTAGGAGCAGGTCTCGGGCTTCTCCTCCGGATTCTAACCACAGGCTCCGAGTGCCTTGCAATAAGCAAGGTTTCAGGTGTGCAATGACACCTCCCCAGCGTGTCCGCGGAAACAGCAGCCCTGTTAAACGGGAGCAGCAGCATCGTCTCCAAAATTTCACCTGCTGTGCTCCGCATGGCGCATCTCTCCATCCGGAGACACGGGAAGGCCTCACGCAGCTATCCCAGCTATTCCTGCCCCAGGTGGTTCAGGGCCAGCTGTGGCCAGGAAAACAGAACCCTCTCCCCCATTCCTCAGCGGGGTCCCCTTGCAAAGGCTCCAGCACCAAACAGACCGGGACGCCTCGGCGGGGAAATGGAAGATGCTCGCCAGGACCCTGCATGCACCGGGCTTCTTGCTGCAGTCCAGGGACAAGGCCACTCTGATGGGCACTGTGGATTTGGACTGGGCGGGGAAAGTCGTGTCTCTGGGTCACAGGAACACGGCCGCACTGTGCTGCTGAGAAGGGAAACCCTGGGGTGCCAGGGAACACTGGACTCTCCCCAGGACCATCAGCTGCGCACTTCCGTAAAGTCTTGGCTTGGACTTTGCCAGATTTCTCGCCCCCTCCCCAGAGCTCAGCCATGTGCTGCTAACACAGACGTGGATACAAGGGTGGCAGCACACATACACCCCCAGTTGGTGCCCAGTATTTTAGCAAGTGCAGCATCCTTAAGAACAAGGAAAAGCTGAGTCCAGTTGTAGGCAGTTATTTTCAGTGCTCTGGACTTCCACAAACCACTGAAAAGGCTGGTGAAGCACATAAAATGCCAGCCCGGGACTCTGAAAACCCAGGTTGAGTTCCCAGCTCTGGCACAGGTGTCCTGTGTGACCTTGGGCAAGTCACTTAGCCTCTGTGTGCACTGCCCTGCCGCACAGGGGGGTTGAGAGAGTAAGTGCATTGAAGACTGAAACACTCTCCGACACAGACAAAGGCTTGTAGGGCTTGGGGGTGGGTAATTCACTACGGGGGGCCTTTGAGGCGGTTTCTTTTATGTTCAGGGCTTCACACCAGCATTACACCCACTTAGCAGAGCAATACAACTCATCTAACACCAGGGATGTGAACTGGTAACCAGTTAACCCTTCCCAGGCGATGCTTCCCCATGAACTGTTACGCCAGAGGCCCAGTGGACTGGAAAGCCCCCTCCCTGGTCCAATTCCATTTAATCAACTTAACGTTGAGCTGGTTAACTAACTAGTTAAACGGGATTTTACATCCCTAGCTAACACCCACCCATCTGCGACCTACAGGGGAATGCAGTCCCGGCCCCCAGCCACATTCAAAACAAACTTTGCTGATGCGTTACAGACTGTGGTCTCCTCTCGGAGTGGATTTAAGGCGGCTTTGGCCCCTACCCAACCCATTATTCTGAAAATAAGAGCTTGGCTCGGCGGCCAGACCCATATTTGGACGGGCAGAGCCCTTCCCGGCGGGCCTGCGGCAAAGGGCCATCTCCCGGACTGGGGCCGGGCGGGAAAAGCAAAGCGCCTGTTGTCCCCAACTCCAGGCTAATCAGAGGCAAGCCAAACCCAGGCACCCACTGCTGTTATTCTGCCGCGTCCAAAACGTTCCCATTAAAAAGGGATCGACATTCTCAAGGGCTTACTGCAACTTTGAAATCTTTTGTGTGTGTGGTTTTTTTTAAAAGCACCAGGAATTCCTTGGAGTCCGGCTGGTCGGTGAGATTTTAGCAAGGGCTTATGAGGGATGCGTTACCGATTTAACCCCTCCCCTCCCAAATCCGGATGCAGCACAGCGCAGATTTGGGGATGGGTCAGGTTGGGGGACACACTCCCTCACTCTCCGGCTCCCC